AGGACAGTAGCTGCCTCGTTCCTGAAGGGTTGCGTCCCGCCCCAGGGCATGAATGTGTGTGTATCCGTATGCGAGTGTCGCTACAGTTACCCCAAAGTTACAAAACCAATGTTAATTACCGTGGTCGCTGTACGAACTTAGTATCTCAAAAAGAGAAACAAGCAAAAAATGAATGTTATAGGTGATTAATATATAATATAGGTGATTAAATAATGTTTCCTTATAAAACACAATAATGAGTGTGTTTTAGAGAGAATGAGAGTAAACTATGAAATGTACATGCACATGGAAGATCCATGACCAACGTCACATGACAAAAACATGCATGTCAGTAAATATCACAACCAGTGTACCTCTATTTGACCTTGATTTCACCCAGCGCAGCCTACTTTCATCTTGCAACTTCTTGCACCTTCTTGCAACTTCTTCCCTAGTGGCAAAGACAAAAAAAAAACGCAACGCACTCATGCAATTTCAATTGTCACTTTATTGGGACGAGAGGTTTGCTAGTTGAGATACATTTTGTTTTTGTTATAATTGCATTTCGGGGCTACTGAGCCCCGGGACACACTTCACCTTGTCCTCTACCCCTAGGGGAGCACACACAGTACGAAAACTACGACACAACGTCTGATCATGCCTTCTTACGTAGCTTTCTCTCAGTCTCCCTCATACAAAGCAATATCCGACTGGCAAAAAATATACTATATCTCCAATTGTTGCGCACATCCTCGGCATTTTAATTTCGCCACAGAGTACACCATGAAACAGCCGTACCTCTCGTACCTTACCACGTCACCAAAAGTTTTAAATATTTCCCAGTTTAAACATTATATACACGGTTACATACAAATTTATGTTATGTATAACAATTAATTGAACCGCTCGGCCGTTTTGGTAATGGGGCGCAAGGACGAAAGGAAAACGTAAATGGTAACGTCATATGATACAGCCGTTTATAGAAGGCTTATGGTAAGATAACAATTACAAACAGCAACAAGCGGACATTTATATACGTATGTATACATTTTGGTGCGACTGGCAAGGTAAGACGGTACGCACACAGAGCAATCATAACAAGAGAGTGCGAGGGAAATAGCAAAATATTGTTATGAATCTATCAGTAACATTTGCACTGGCTTAATCGGCGAGTATATTAAATACCTAAATTGGAAATATTGGCAATACCGATGAAATATTTGGGATTACAATTTTATACAAGTATTGGCAGAACTTGCGGACTTAGTTTAATTCTCTCAGTCATTATTTGCAAAATGAAGGTTTACTGACGAAATTAAAAATGTACAACTTTGAAAAAAACGTATTCGTTTTTATTATTGGTAGGGAGATGGTAAGTCTCTTTGGAACACATCCATGAAATGATTTTGTTCCAAATAGAAACCGTCCTCCTTATGACAGCTCTGTGGCACGGCAAATACAGTACAGAACAGACAATCTTACTAGTAATAGCCCTCTCATTTGCACACGACACTTGCTCTCGAAAGAAACATAGTTATTGTTCGGAACATGGTATAGCTACACATAATTGTTGACAAAATTTGTGAATGTATGAAAAACTTTGGCGTATAAATATTATTTTTATTTTTAAGCTATATTTTGGGGTACCACGCCTTCAAGCTAAATATATCTATTAAGTTCTCAATGACGACGCTCGCAAAAAATAATACAATTTTGTAGGGAATATACAAGATAACAATAGTGTTCCTATAAACCATTCAACTAGATACTAGGGTCAGATAAAGACTGACCACTTTCAAGAATTGTCAGTACTTTTTTTTGAAAGGACATATACACGCTATTCGCATATGGGGTCATACCAGTTCCGTTTTCCAGGAAGACCATGATTACTCAACTAATTCGTAAATATTGTTCTGAGGCCGTTACACTCATAGCACAAACAAGTATGCTTAACAAATAAATGGAACCATCAAGAATACTAAATCTGTAGTTCAAGTCAAGATATTAAGTGGGTATAAAATAAATAAAATCTGATGCAGACAACCAGTATATTCCCTCTGAAAAAAATAACCCACGCCTGAACTTCACGCACACACTTTTGCAGTACACCACTAAGAATTTTATGTATATAAACACGCACTGTCAATTATCACCACATTCCCTTTTTGTTTAGATATGCGCTTAAAGTTATCCCCGTTTCCAAATTCACTACCGATTTACAGTTTCAGCTACTATATAAGGAATGAAGGTTTCGTTTTAGTCTCTAGTATACATCTTTACTTCGTCTCCCACTTGTAAAGTCAACGAATGAATTGGCACTCTTCTTCACACACAACAAAGTTATGGAACATTATCTCACAAAAGAATATATTATTTTCGTTATTTTCTTCCACTAATTGCCTTATTTTTTTCCTTTACAAATATTCGCCCTCGCCTGGTCTATTTGAAAACTTTGCAAGAGGCAGGCGGGGTTACGAAGCACATATCAACACTTGCTAAAACAGTCCTCTCTGATGGCGGCGATGGCAGCGACGGCGGCGGCGGGCGGCGGCAGCAGCGATTGTCGGGCAGGCGGCCCGCCCGTGAGCGGCGGCGGCGGGGCGGGAGGCGGGCGGCGGGCGGGGCGGGCGGGGGCGGGCGCGGGGAGGCTGGTGCCAGGGGCGTCAGGCGCGAAGGAAGCTTGAGCAAGAGACTAACAAAAATTATTGAGACTTGGTGCTTGGAACACGCCTGTAGAATGCGGGCTGTCGCGCCTAAGCTTGAAGCGCGAACTTGCGGACTAGCTTTTCCTCGACGCCAGCTTTGCCTCAAGAGCAATTCTACCGTAAATACCACTGTTTGGCAACAGAGGTAAGGACACGGACATGAGCTGGCGAAGTATTGCTTCAATTTTTCATACAATTTCGAGGAGAGATTTTTAATTTATCTCAAACAATAGTAAGTTAATATTGGCATTGCATATATACCTGTGCTTTTTGCTGCTGAAACAACTTAAATCACATCGGACGTCTTTCGACACAGGGAGTTTAGTAGAAATTCATAACGAAGTGGATTAATTTAACATATATTATTTATTGTGTGAAACAGCTACTTTTTGTGGCAATTCCAATTATATTCGTACAATGAAACTTACCAAAATGTGAATACTGCGAATATCAAACATTCCCGGAAGACAGCGAAAATAACCAGTAATCATTAGAGATAAATCTTTCATTTCAGACCTTTTGTATTTTCACATGAAGATGTAATCTGATTATAATTCTTCAACAGATCATAAAGTTTGTATATATTGACTTTATTGGTTACGCGGTTCCCTTTTCCTAATGTGTCTGTGTTCAAACCACCCAACATTTACACACTGCATTACTGGTTCAGTGCTACGCACAATACGAAAGCCAATTGCGTTTTGCACAGATTTACTCCAGGAAAAAATTGCATTGACTGTTCAGTGTATTTGAAAAAAGTCAGGCAGTTGTTCTCCCAAATTTACCAGTTGGAATACCAGTGACTGATATATGACCAGTGGAATTGCGACCCCGATTAATAACTTGATTGCCTCTCGTCGTCTTGTGAATTAGTGTGCATGCCTCCCGCTCAGCACATTTAGTCCTGGAAGAAGAAGACAAGGATGAAAAGACGTTTGATAACCTTCGCGAGAACAATCGAAAGTAACCACGTGCATCAGTTTCGCATGCCTACAACTACGAAGAATACACTATTCAAAGCCATCGTGTAGAGATCTGTTAGAGACTTCCCAGTATTATGGAGAATTTACAAATGCTTGGCCGTCATCCTGTCACCTTCATAGAAAATTTTTTATTTTAGTTATTTTCAAACATTTCCTTCTTTTCTTTCGGTAGAGGTCGCCAAAATGACGATCAAAGAGTGGATCTCTATTTGCTGACACGGAGTGGTCCTGGACAATCAATATTACTCATGGCTACAGATGAGGGACTTTTGGAGTTGTAACATCATTACCTGTAGTTACGTGTTTATTCGTTGGTCGCCGGAGTTAAATGCAGACATTGATTACCGTCCAAACACCCTTTGTCATCAAGAAGTCACATGATAAGCAGCAGCGATGGTGACTGTTAGTTCCTACAAGAGACGCTGCAGCGTGCTCGGTGGGCCAGTCAACATTTCGATTGTGAATACTACCGCTTCTTCAGGCAATCACTTATTTTGAATTATTTAAAAAAACACTTTTTATCCCTGAAGAAAGACATACTTAATCGACGACAAAAACTTTGGCCATGCCATCAAGGACTCGAGGCAGGTCTCCAGGCAGGACGTGCATTAATACAAGTGCCTGGCTGCTAAATCAGGGGACTCCGAAGGCCTTCTTGGACTGGAGTCAGGCAATTGCCTTGATGAGGGTCGCAAAGTTTGAGTGGACATCATGACCCCTACTTCGGAACTTAGGATCACTTGATCAGATTGGCTCGTCAGGTTGAATCAATCCACCACAAAAGGAACGCTCATTCCTGTAGAGCTATCAACATTTAGTTCAGTAAAAAAAGACCTTCTGGGGCAGTATTTTATTTAGTTTTTTCAATAATATTTGTTTATCCCCTAAGTGTGTATTATTAAGCCAAAAACGTTGTCAACTCACCCTAGAAACTAGGCGTCGGCAGTCTTATCAGATATTCCAAGCGCTGTGTCTGATGGACCGGGACTTTTTTGAAAACGATTTAAAATGATTGCTGTCTAGCTCGAACCGCACGCCCTGTATTCCATCCTCGGTTCACTAAACGAGTTGCCTAGCCTGTTGCACACTTAAACAAACGCCGCGAGTTGTTTGCGTGTCGCAGTCTGAGGAAGGGCCACGCCCCCCCTTGGCCGTCGGCGTCCGGCCGCCGATAGGCCTCGCCCTCGCCGCCGGCGGGCGCAGCGCTCAGGCGCGGGACGCCAGGGCGCGGGCCGCGCGGCGCGCCATCAGCTCCTGCCGTTCCCGCCCCGCCGCCCTGGCGAGCCAGGCCAGCGCCCAGGCGGCGGCGTAGCGCGCGGCGGCGGCGCGCCACGCCGCGCTGCCGCCGCCCCCGCGCCCGCCCCCGCGCGCGACCACGCCGCCCGCCCCTTGGCCGCCGCCGCGCTGTGCCCGCCGGCCGCCACCCGGGCGCCGAGACGCCCCGGCGCGCGTCGTCGTCGTACGCGATGTACACTGCAACACACAAAAACACGCGCGGTTTTAATTATACAAATATTAATAACAACAATAATGTATCCAACAACGTTGATAACAACATTCATATTAATAATAGTACTATTAATAACAATACTAATACATGTTAAATAATGTTACGAAGGCCCCTTAGGGTCTGTGTTACACGAGTGTTGCATTGACGAGCGTTTGACGCCCGATAAGTAACGCGCGTCGTAGATTAACACGATCTTATACAGAACGGCCAATTAACACCGCATCTTATGCGAAATTTGCTTCGGTTACTTAACGTACGTTAACGCAACACTCGTGTGCTCTAAGGGGTGAAATCATTATGTAGATGCTATGACCATTACTCCCAGTAAGTGCAGTGCTTGTCCTCCCGCACTGGAACGTGAGATTCGGCGCCGACCTACATGGCTTGCGAGATTTGCTTGCTTTCTCCTCGATGTAAGTGTCTGGCACCGACACGTCTAGAGCAAACTCTATGCTCTATACTCAGAGGTACGTTGAATTCGATGAAGCTATGAATACACTGACGGGTCTCAAACCCTACAGAAGCAATGCTGCAGAGACAACGACGATACTGGCGCTGAGAAATCTCAACCAGTCAAACGAGATGGGAAAGGTGGCTTAAGGTACGAGGGCTCGTCAAAATGAGCAAGGGGCAAAGAGAGCAAGGATGGGGTGAAGAGCGAGAGAGCGAACAAGGCCAAAGATATAGAAGGCGGTGGTAGGACGGAGCTAGTAGTTAAAAGAATGAGAGTTAAGAGGTGGACGAGTCGGGAAAGATGCCGAGAGATTCGCAGTTGTCGAGATGACGAGGTGAGACCAGGCGGGGCGAGGAGGGCGTGGGAGGCCTTGGGAGAAGAGAAGGCAAAGGAGGGAGAAATAAGAGAAAGTCGTACAAGAGAGAGGAAGGGAAAGGGTCGAGGGGTGAGTAAGGACTAGAGGAAAGAAGAGGAACACGTGCTCTCGTGAGGGGGAGGAGCGAGGAAAAGAAGGGAATGAGGAGGCATCTTGAAAGGAACACGTGAAACGAAACGAACAAGGGAAGCAGAAAGTGAAAAGGCCTCCGGACAGGCGATGCGAGACGATGCGATGCGATGGGAGCTTGATGAGAGAGGAGATCGTGAGTGGGCTTTGGGAAACCTGACGGGAGAAGGAGATGAGGCGGCGAGCGAGGCAGAGAGACCGGAGTGGTCAGGGGTGTGGAGGAAAGACGCGGAGCAAGGGGTCGCGCTGGGCGAGACGAGGGGCGCGGTGGGTAGTGGCGGGCAGCGCCATGGCAGGGANNNNGTCTGTACCTGCGCCGCGGCCGTGCGGCGCGGTGCGGCGCGGCCTTTCCGCTGAGACAGCGCGGGCGTGGGCGTGGGGGCGGGCAGTGGGCGGCGACCCCGCTCGGCTTTCCGCGCACGTCGCGGCCACGAGGTCAGCAGCGCGCTTTGCCCTCCCTCTTCCTCCCCACCCTCAGCAGCCGCCGGTCTCCGCCGGGCGCTCACGAGCGCTGCAACGCCCGCGGTTTAGCGGAAGACTCGGCCGGCCAGTTTATCGCTCGCGATTTCTCGCAATCTGCACTCGATATTCGTTCTGGCCTTTGTTTCGCCACTTATACGAATGTCTGTGTTGGATATGCATTCCATTCACAGTTTAGTCTCATAAGTTAACCACATGACTGGCAACTGCAAATAGTTTAAAGGCATAGGATTTATATAATTCACACTATTGAGATTGGGTGTGGTATAAAGGCTCGAGATTAAGGAGGGAGAAGGAAAGACCGATGGGGGAAGGGGGGCCAAGGACACATGGGGAAAGGCGAGAGGCCTAGAGAACGGGGCAGGAAGCTGTGGGAGTCATACTTTGTTTCTTATTTTCTCTTATATTTATTTTCAAAGTCGGCAATGTCGTATTGAGATTATTAATTAGTGCAAAAGTTGTTGAGATGAGAGACGAGCAAAAAATGTTTGTTGAAGCTTGATGAGAAGTATTGAAATGCAATAAAGCGCAATACAAGGTTGCGACACTCTCAGAACGACATATTCAGAAATGTAATCTTGGTATTAAAATAAGTAAAGCAACACGTCTAAAATTGTATTTATACAATTAGGCAACAAATATTTTAGTTTTCACGTTATCTGAAGTATTCCCTTCCGACGTTGACAAAATGAGTAGGTACCTAGAATTTACTTACAATGTAGACTTCTTATTAGAATATAAAATTGAATTGGTTCTTAATTTTCAAAATAGACGAGATTTATGAGTATTATATTTTAGGAAGAAACTAACGTGAAAATAATTTTGACGTTGAATGAAAGCAAGCAACGGATATCGCTTGTTGTTATATTCCCATGCCACGAGTTGAGTTGCGCAATTAGATGTAATGCTGCCTTTACACATTTGTTTTGTGTTGTGAAGCAAAGTACAGTGAACCGTTGTGTAGCCTCATAGATTATTTGTTAGATTTGATAGTTTAGATTAGATTTGATCTATTCAGAGTTTAACACCCCGTGGTAGATTTTTAAAAAGTAATACAATATACATCAAACATGATTCGTTAAAACACATTCTTCTTAATTTTGGCATGGTCGGAAGGGATATTATATCCTATGCGACTTCATATTCTAAAAGAACAGCTATTAATTGTATAGTAAACAGAACTAATTTAATTTGGTTATTTATTTAAAAGCAAGTATATATTAATACATTTATTTGTAATTATCGTAAATTATAGTGTTCGCCCAAGAGGTTGCAACATTGCTACTAGCAGAAATATATATCCATCGGTTACTTTGTTACTCCTGTGAAGTATGAAACAAATAGATCAACACAGTACTGCCTGCGGTTTTATTTTCCCTATTCCTAATATCAGAATAAACATTCTAGAATTAATAACGACAAGGTATCAATACGAAAATGTAACAAGAGTTTACAAAAATGTAGACATATTGGCGTATTATTTTATTGATTAAGCAGGTCTTAAAATATTACACACTCTCTCACCCTTACTTCTTTGGTAGAGAATATTAGAGTTGTGTAATAAACGTCAAATTTCCGACAGAGAAACACAGTTATTGCCGGGCTATGGTAACAAAAAAGTGGATAAAGATTGTTATTTAATATACAAGTAGTAAATTACTTCTTCTAACATGCAGTGTATTCAGAATCCATGTTTTGGGGGTTTTAACAAACTCGAATGAAGTTAACGAAGATGAATGTACTTCATATTTGTGTATTATAGGCAAAATTAAGTTGTTTCCTAATTACTAATAATTTAGTATTTGGATATAAATTAGTGCATTCTCCTTAGCATATGTAAAACTTTGCTCCTGTGCGCCTATTTAAAATGTTACGTTTATTGGTGTCTAAAAGTGCTCTAAATGTCGAGAGTGTCTCATTAATTCAGCATTACTCACATAATGATTCAGGATAAAAATGTCTGTAAGAATGAAATATGCGTGGTAATGGAATTTTTCATTCTCCGGCTGATAATTATGGTCGATATAATTATGTAAGTATGGATTTGGAATTTTAATACGACTTTGGCGGATTAAAACGTTTGCCAGATAGTGATTTGTCCAGGCCTGGGCCATGTTTTTATTTATTTATTAACCATGTCTGAGAGTAATGGAGACATGTAGCGAGCATTTCATATTTCCTTCACAATATCTATCATACTTGGCCTGTGTGGACTTTTGTTTAGTCACACAGTTGCATAAACTGAGACAATTTTAATGGAAAGTTACAGCTCTATTTTTGCTCTGTATGGGAATCAAACGCGGAATCGGACCATGGTAAGCTACCGCGCTGTCCATAAACTACACGAGAGGCTATGTGCTCGAGGGGCTCTTCGATGTTATCAAATAACCAATAAATACTCCAGTTTTGTTTTGATCTGCCAAAGTATCGCATGCTCTGAACGGAAGTGGAGTTGTAAGTTTCACGTGATAAAATTTAGAAACTAGTAATTTATAATTGCAGTAGAACGTGGGAGTAGGAGCTGGTTCTGAAGCGGTGTCCCTCAGGGTTCTGGTTGCAGGCCTTTGTATAGTTCGCCCTTCTCGCTCCCCCCTCGCCACCCGCTGCGCGTAAGTCTCGAAGCAACCACGCGGGCGTAATGGCATTGTGGTTAATGACCAGTCCGCCCAAACTCTCCTTCGCGGCGAGCTCCTTCCAGTACACAAATTTACGATAATTGTCTAGAAATATACTCGTCCGCATTAATAATGGAGCATATTAATTTAAGTCGCCGCATCGATTTTCGATTTAGAGTCATCCGATGAATGGGAGGCCGGCCAGCTTACGTAAACTTGAGCAAAGGAACGCGCTGGGGTAAGTGGGGAGGGGAAGAGGGGAGGGGAGGGGAGGGGATGGGCAGTGTCTCCGTGTGCTGCCTCGGTCCTCTTCCTTCCTCTCCTCTGGGCCCGAGGGCCGCATCGCTTCGCCTCCCAGCGCCTTCCACGTCGTATTGATGTTCCTTTCAATGAAGAGATAAGGCCAGGCGTTTTCTTTCCCTGAACATTTCTTCATTTTGTTGCACAAAAGACTCGGGCCACCCGACCAACACGATGTTGTAGCGCTCTGCTGTGCAATCTCCTTTCGAGTCAATTTTCATTTTCTGCCCGATGCGAATTTGAGGCGCCCAGTTCATTCGGTTCTGAATAAAATCGGATGTGATGTTTGCATAACTTGGCCTAGTTTCCTTACACAAAGGTGGCTGTGAAATCAATATGTAACATTGGAAAGCGAATGTTAAAAATATAAATATAAGGTAGAAAATTATTAAGGATAATTACAGACCAAAAATAAATAAACTTGAATTATGTCTACTAGTTTTCATATGTGTTTTTTAAACAAACTTTATTATTCAATACCTTTCCTGCAACATTTTTGTGAATATTGAATTTACCGTATGTATGCTAATTTGACGTTTCTGTATCACTTTTATAATTCTAAAAAATAGGTACATTTTTAATTTTCACTTAATAGGTAATTATTACACA